TACCACAAAGCATTTTAAGTGCATGAGGCTAGTGAGCTAAACAGCATGCTTCATGAGCTACAAGACACTCTACATGGCTTTTTGAGCAACTTTAAGAAATCCAATTTTGATTGGAATCTGCTCAAATTCTACACAACATAAAGACATGTATATGTACCAGAAAATAGAAAACTCTCTTCTCTTTATTTTTAATAAACTGATAATGATTATTTTAGTAAATTTTAAAATTCAATTTAGACCAGAATCCACTCAAACTTTCTACACAACATGAGTACATGTATATATATTAGAAAAAATATATAAATGGAGAATCCACTCCTTTTTATTTTTTGGACAAAGACCAAGTACATGTACTGTAGCACGTGGTCTTTGGCACAATTTTGGAGCAACTTAAAAATCAGAAATCAGTTTAACTTTTTACACTGTATAAAAACATGTACCGGTATGTATCAGGAAAATTCTGAAATTAAAAATCTCTAATTTTCATTTTTTACTAAATTTTGCCAAAAATCCTGTATTATAGTACAGGGACTTTAGCTCAATATTTTTAGCAATTTTAAAAATTCGTAAAAATTGAAATTTTAGTCAGAATTAGCTCAAACTTTCTACACAGCATAAAAACATGTATGTGTATCAGGAAAAAATTATAAAAATGAAGAATTCTCTACATTTAATTTTACACAAAATTTGGCCAAATTTCCTGTACTATAGTACAGGGGCTTTGGCCCAGTTTTTGAGCAACTTTAAAAATTCATAAGAAATCTAAATTTGATTAGCATTAGCTCAAATTTTATACACAACGTAAGAACATGTAAATGCATTAATAAAAATTATAAAAATGGAAAACTCTCTACTTTTAATTTTTGACAAAATTTGGCCAAAGTGGTACTTTGGCCCAATTTTTGAGCAACATTAAAAATAGTAATAAATCTAAATTGGATTGGAATCAGCTCAAACTTTCTATACAGCATAATATGCATCTGAAAAATGGATAATTCTCTCCTTGTGATTTTTGTCTAAATACCCTGTATTGTAGCACAGGTCTTGGGCTCAACTTTTGAGCAACTTGATAATCCACTGACAAGAAGCTGCATGAAGACTATGCAAAAATCCTGTCCCTATCTGATCGTCTATTAAAAATTGCAGATCAAATTCAGCAATGTTCAGACACAATGTCTGAACATTGTTTGAATGTAATTTCAGGCTCTTAAACCCTGTGTAAAATTATACAATACATGTACAATAGCATATAGCAATTACTCATTAATCTATTATAATCCATGTACATGTACCTTAGGACAGGGTCTCCCATTTGAGGATTTAGATGAGAACCATCGAACTGGAAGTCCTTTGATATGTACTGTATCGGCTCTCTCTCCTGGTTTACCTTCATCAAATGAAGGGACTCCTCTATCATTAAAGTGTCCTTCCCAATGAATTTGAGTAGGATGATCACTCTCAGACTGGTACGCACGTATCCTCAAGGCATCATGGAATCCACGAATCTTAATACTCTTCCCATTAAGAAGTAGTGTAACTTTACGTAAAGCTCTGATTGTTTCAAATTCACCTTCAAACCTAATAAGTTCTCTTGCTGATGATGAAACACGTAAATTCTGATAGTCCACTGGTTTTGACTTCTCTTTTATTTTCTCCATTATCTCCCAGTTAGAGACAGTGAGTCCTGGGTTTCTTATCTCTGGTAGACGAACTTCTATCATTAGAATGGCTAGTGTCTTTAAGTAGAGGCCACCAGTGGGAAAGAAAGATATGGGGACATCATCCGCCATTTTAAGAACACTCCTACTTATTGGACACACATAACAACACGTGGCAATCTTAAATCAGCATTCAGTGAACTCTCATCTCATAAAGCTGGCTTCTTTCACTTAAAAACTCGAGGCAATTTGATTCTCTAGCAGTGCAGCAGATCTGCCTTACTAGCTAGCAATCTCCAGCATCAACTAATCAAGACACTGTATATAGTTGTTCTTAAATTAAAACTTGCATAAAATTAAAATTTGCATAAAATAAAAATATTTTGTCTACCAAAATTTTATTCTGCTTTTAATTTGCTCAAAATAAGGCAACGCAGAACAAGTATTTTGATGTTGTCTGTCTAGCCAGAGTGACTTTAGTGTATTATTGGTCTGAAGTGATTCTGACAGCATCACTGCTCCATGACTATCAATGTTAGTATCATATAAATAAAGGTAGGTAAGTGTCTTGTTATTGTTTAAAAGCTTAGCAATTGACTGAGCACAGGCTGAGGTTATGTCAGGATTGTATTGAAGATGTAAATATTTAAGTGTTTCATTATACTGGAGTGATTGTGCCAATGCAACGACTCCGTCATCACTGATTGAATCATTAGATAGTTGTAGCATTGTTAAAGATTTGTTGGTTGATAGTTGAGTTATAAATGAGAGGATATCATCATGTGTTAAGAATGAGGATACAGTAAGTTGCCTGATTGTTCTCCCCTCCAGTATAGTTGGTATTAGAAACTGTATACTGTCAGATGAAGAGTCGATCAGTGTTACTATTTCATGCTTGTCCTCCAATTTAGTGATTACCTCCATACATTGATCTACTGATGGATTAAGAAGGTGTACACCATCTTGACTCCATTCCACTTCCCCATCCTCTTGTACTACTAATAAAAATATGCAATGCAAGTATTCAAAAATTCATTTATGTTTATAATTTTATTTTATGCAATGCTTCATTGAAGGTTCTACCTGGTACATGCATGTATGTAATTTATTCAATATGCTTTACACACACACATAGAGACACACTCATTAAGCAACGATTAAAATTACAAGAAGATTAATGTGCTAAATAGATATTGTGCATTAAGTAAATTTCATTTACTTGATGTGCCAGTATCGAGTGATTCGTCTGCTTCTGATAATTCTTCATATGATAATTCTGTTAATAAACATGCAAATGCAATTAAGTAATAGTTGTCACATGGGTGACGGGTCAGCATATATACACATATCATTTGAGCTTGTACATGGTTGAGCTACAAAAAATAGTTCACTCAGGCCTTTGGGCCTAAGTGTGCTATATTTAGGATAGGATCTTAAATGCAGACCAGATCAAATTTTGTTGACCAAAATTCAATCACATTCATACCACATTTATTCAGCAAAATCAAAAAAGAAAAATTATCTACTATGAATGAAGTAAGCATCATTTTAAACTCTTTCTCAGTATATCTGTTACATGGGTCAATGGTACCATTAATTTTAAAAGCTGCATGTTGGTATATGGAACTGTCCAATACAATGCAACATGGATTGTGACAAAACTACATGACTGAAATAACTCGACAAACCTTCAGAATCTGTTTCTTTCAAATATTGTTTTAATATATTTTCTCTCTCTACCACTTCTTCCATCAGTGTTGAAATTTTGTCTTTTAGTTCAGTAATCACTCTTT